GACCTGGCGCACACGCTGCAGCCGCACGCAGACCTCGCCTGAGCGCAGACACGCACTCCAAGGATATACATAAACTTGCAAGATTTTATATCCCAATTCGCAACACAAAAAACATTATTATTTCACAATTCCTATGGTGAATAAAGCCTCGCATTCTGTTAAAAATATGCGTTATACAATAAAATGAATAAATATTTTCTAGACACCAGAATTGATAAGTAATGTCATTAATTTAGTTTTGTTCACATACATATTTTAATTTATACTTAAGTAAAACTAAAAGTAATTCGACTGTAAGGCGGCGCAGCGAGACGAGTCATCGCTTTGCACCGCCACTGACTGCACCAAAAATATTGTTAATCGTTTAGCACAAATGTTTATAACTTATTATTTATTATAATGTTTTGACTTTCTATACGTAAACTCTTATTTATTATAGATGTTTATTGTTTTTTTTAATATAAACATGTTATGAAACACTGTAAAGTTCGGTTTAGGGAATTAAAAAAATGATGAGCAGAAGAAGGCGTAGCGACGATGTTGTCGGCATTTTGTTAATTTTAATATTGTAAAATTAATTCCTTATGAAGACATTATCCTTAGTTTGTTTATTTAGTTTTACATTCCATTTCACATGAAGATAATTAATATTGCGGATGAGAGCACTCTCCGTCCCCGAGGCAGCGCTCATACGCAGGCATATTGTTTGTGTACATCTGCTGTATATAAACACATATGTACGATTTAATGTATATATATGTAGCATAGTCGTAGTTATTGTTAAAAATTGAGCACAAAGTGTAGGACAGGAGTTACGAGTTGCAGAGCAACACTGCTGTGGCCTCCCGTCTCCATTCGACTGATATTAGTGTTTTGTTTATTTATTTCTTGAACATTTAGAGGATTATCGGTAGGATTAATTACAATATACATGTATAATTCAGTTATAATAAAGTTTTAAAATCCGAAAACATAAAACAGAGTCTGTAGCATTCCGTGTGACGATTAGATTTTAAAGATTTGATTTGCTCAGATGTTGTATGATAATGTGTTCCAATTGTTATAACACTGACATTGTGAATTATTTATCAAAGCTATATAAACATGGAAAAATACATTTGTAATTAAAACAAGAAGTACGGATTGGAGTATTGATATAGTATTTATGTGCTGTACCGTATAGGGTTGTGGCTGGGGGTTGGGACGGTTCTGTCTTCTACACTGTTACCTTTTGTTAAGACGTATGTTGTCTTACTTTTATTTATTTTAAACTTACTAAGTTTGTCAATGAAAATATTTGAAAGTACTTGAAGTATACTTTTTAATAAAGTTAACTTTTTACACAAGAAATGAAGAAATTTTTACAATGAAATTTATAATTGTAATAATTAACTGGACATTTGGTCAAGTTATAATGTCTTAATTTTTTGTCAATATTTTTCTGATTATATTGTTATTGCCAAAGTGTCTCACTTAACTTCGATACTTACATATGAAAAGTTAAGTTTAAATAGATATGTAATGCTGTGGTGTAAAGGGTTTGGGAGAGAGGTGTTTTGCAGTTGGTTTTCATAGAAACTGTATGTGACTTTGCAGCAATAAATTATGTTTAATATAAGTTATGTTGTTTTCATTTATATACCATATCATGTCTCCTTAGATTTCCTGGTGTTAAATTAGACTGAGTATGATATTGGGACATCCCAGTATGGTATATGGTCCATGGTGGTTAGCCAAAAGTCGATGATGCTAACCCTGTTGGCTAACATTAGACTATCTATTCCATTGCTCGTTGCCGCTTTGTTTACTGAAACTAATGGATACATTTTCTTTTGACGTGATGTAAAAGTGAAACCTAAATATGTTATCTAAAAAATTAAACATACATCCCGCAGTACAATGATGCTTGAATATTTTTTTTAATAGCTTTAAGTAAATAGTTTTATTATCTTTAAACGTAAAAAATAATGAGAGCTCAAGGAGCTGTTTACTTAGCATCGGACAAGGTCACACCTCACTACGCAGCCGGCCGTCGCCTGCGCGCCCGCTCCGCCACCGCCGGCCCGCGCTCCGCTTCTACGTAAGTATTCACCTAAGGTCATCGCCTTTTGACCTCAACACAAACTTATCAAAAACATGTAACACTTGTTAAATAACTTTTTGATAATGATTCTCGTCGGACGTTCCAGTCTCGCTGTTTATTTAATCTTTATTGTAGTAATAGTTGTGGAAGCGGCGGTAATCGATACAAATTTATCGAGGTAAGTAGTGTCTGGAGCACCCACTTGCGGTTTGAGTTCAATTTGCAATAAATACCTATTATCTAAGTTATTATAGTAAATGGATAAAATAAAAATAAAAACTACGTCTACTACTTTGCAGTAAAATTTATATTCTACTTTTAATGTTAGGTCATCTACTTTGTTTTATAATTTAGTTTGCGTGTTTCAGCATGACTACAGTAGACTACGCGAAGGTGCCCATCCAGACGAAGGCGCTGCACGTGCCGCCGCTGGAGGAGATGGCAGATGGTCAGTCAATTCTCTTGGAAAAATTTACTGCATTCATAAAAAGAACTATCAGAATTGCTTTTAAGAGGGAGATTCGTCTCCCATTAAACTAAGACGATTGATAGAAAATGTGCAGTCAACATAGCGAGACGTCCACTAGCTCCGTATCTTCATATCTTCCTTATTCTAAAAAATGTCTCTCGTCAAGTAAACTCATATTAGTATGTGTTTCAGTGCTGTCTCGCGAGCTGCTGTCCACATTCGAGACAGTGGAGGTGTCTGTGGTAGACTGCCCAGACCTCACGCAGCAGCCCTTCGACCTGCAGGCGCCAGGTTAGTGCAGCTTACAATAAGTATTAGGTACGGTAAGTTAAGGTTGCAAAATATCAATTAAATTTCGATATTTACAAATCGAAATAAGAAATTTTCACATCAGTTGATGCGTGTGGGCAATGCTTGCAGCTTCAACACCAGTAGCGAGCTCGTGTTGTCTTTATGATTACATCGCAGCAGCTGATTGCAGCTTATCTGTTTGTTATGTAACAAGTAAACACGCTGCCTGTTTGTACAGACAATATAATAGCGGACACTATTTGCTATTGATTGCATTGTTTGCGTATCGAATAATTACTTGTAAAAATAGAAATAAGAACGGGAATATAGGAATGTTTTTGATATAATATAATTTATGTTTTTACATTGGCGTGGCCGATGTTTTTTCAATGTTATATTCTTTTTGTTTATATTTGAATTCAAAGACTTTATTCCACCGGTCATAACCCAAGCAATCATTCAGATAAGGAAAATATGTTTACAATAAGTACAGAGACTAGTCGTCGCCCAAAACACGTAATAAATGTTTTTATTAACTTTACTTCACTGACACTATCTTTCACATTCATCTGTTCGTGAAAGTTCCTTTAAAAGTCAAGCGCGGCTCAGAATGTGCGCGATCTCTTTCTATAAGCAACGCTTGTATTACCACTGTCGCGACTCCCATAGTGAAAGGGGATCTATACCTAAATCTATCCCAGGATGTTTCTATTATTTTTGTAGTTGTTAGTCACGTGGTATGATGTTGGTGTGCAGGCATATCGGGTAACGCGACGCTGGTGGAAATCGGCGGACCGCCCTACCTGGTGCCGCTGGTGCAGCGCGACAAGGTGTACGACCTGGCGGCGCTGCTGCGGCACCTGCGCCGCGACCCTGCGCTGCTGGCCGGCGCCGGCGCGGGGCCATGGCCCTACATCGGCGTCAACTGCGAGGTCACCGCCCCCTCTGCTTCGAAGCTTATGGTTTTGAGTGCTTGAGAACGTTAACTAACGTGATTTTTCAATGCAGGGTATCATCAACCTCCGCATGCAGGACGGCGCGGTGCGACAGGGCACGCGCGTGGTGACCGTACAGCCGGTGGGCGCGGCCAAGGGCAGCAGCGGCTACCTACAGCGGCGCCTGCCGGACGCGGAGACGCGCACGGCGCTGCTCGGCAACTACCTGCTGAGCGACGGCGCGCCCGGCAAGGTGCTGCGCGTGGTGGTGAAGCACCGCGTTGGCGCCGACAACTTCATCACGGCCATCCGGCAGGCGCTGCGGGCGCGGTACGGCGAGCGCGGCGTAGGGCTGGGCGGCGCTTTCGTGGTGCGCGAGGGCCGCGTCAAGCACCACGTGATGCCGGACTTCTCTTCGGCGGCGCTCTGCAGCGACGAGGACGTCGACCGCTGGCTGCACTACTTCGAGATGCGCGCGCCCATCGTGCACGTGGGCACGCTCGTCACCGCCGACCTGGGGCTGGACCTGCGCGTGCAGCACTTCCACGGGTTCAGCGCTCACGGCGACGGCGGCCACTACCACTACGACACGACGCCCGACTCCATACACTATGAGGGCTACTTCACGCCCGCAGACACCATCGTGCGCGTCGACGCACCTCAGGACACGCACACCTTCGGCCGCGACTGACCTTCATCATTTGCTCGTAACATCGAAATGGTTTTGTTATAACTTTATAAATATAAGATGTTGATTATGTTGCAAAGTTTGATTTTCACAACTTGCGATGTTCTAACAATTTGAATACTATTACATTCTGTGGAGCGATGTTTAAAAGAGGGGGGAGGGGGTAGGAAATAAAATACATATTTGATCGTGTACCGCTCTATATTACCAAATATTCTGCTTTGACACAAGATGTATGAATTATGAAACCTACACATATAGGGTTTGAATATAAAAATTGTTATGAGATGAGGCAGGTACCGCGGCTGCAGCGCCCTCAGTCGCCGCGGCACTTGCGTTATTGTCACTGTTTTAACACGATGAGACCTGCCTGTATGGAAACTAGACTTAGAAAATGCATAAATAATACAACAAAAACAGAATGACTTTATAATAAAAATATACCAATGATGTATTTACAAAGGTTGACATACGCAGACACAGATTGGACATGTTTGCTCGGCGGTGGGAACTGCGCACTACACATCTTGTATGGTCCTATCAGACGCTAGAGGCTCACTCGGCCTCGCTACAAACACATCATTTTACATACAAAAATATCACCGAGTTATTTACAATTGATACAAAGAAGTTGTCAGTGGGAATAGATCGACACCGACGTATTGACTTATCTACTAACATATATTAAATTATAATTCATTCAATAACAATATAATCGTAAGATGAAAGCAAATAATATTGATTTGAATGACAAACGATATAAATGTACTTGTATGGAGTTTGTCTCACGCACAGCCACCGGGGATACATCAGTCATCAGACTATTCCTTACATCACTATATAATTATTTGCAACATAAATTTAACAAATCTCATAAAATGAAACTTCATCAAAAAATATAACACAATTCATAAGATACTACTTTAAAATATAAATAATGCTCCAATAAAAAAGGCAAAAAAAATATCACGTAGTAGTAATTTTTTTAGCTATATGATAGATAAACGATATTTAAAAAAATATATACACTTTTTTTTTCAATACATTGATTGTATTTTGAACTAACACTTAATTGTAACATTTAAAAAATTGAGTTTAGTGATCACCTCTCAGGCGCTACGTCCATACATACATACATACATACATACAGTGCGCCGCTGCACACAGACACACAGACAGCGCACCACATTCTCCGCATTGTCCTGTCGACTCACACCCCTCACAGTTCTATGTTAGCATTGATTAACTGAGTACATTTATTCAAGTTTTATAAGTTACTAATTATGGGAAATACCAGAATCTGAGTACTTCACATCGAGTTACAGAACAAATAACTTTAACTTTAACATAGATAGGTCTTTTTTTAGTTACAACGTCAATTAAATGCCTAAAATTCCTGAATTTTAAGAACGAAAAAATAACCAAGTTAAGCGACTAATTTTGAAAAAACAAACTTTGTAAAGATGACGTCATCTTAAGATGGTAAATGTATATGTTTAATGGACGAAGAGAAAACTACTTAAAATTTCAGGACGTTATTATTTTGTTCATCACAAACATGTCCATGAAACGTAACGAAGTTTCGTTTCTCATTTGATTTAGTTCTGTCGATGTAATGTGTGTTGGGGGCGGGGGCGGTGTTGGGGGCGGTGTTGTGG